CACATATGTATATAGAGAGACGTGAAAGTTGCTTTTGTGTTTTTATTCAACTCAGTCAACCAATTTCCAGGGCCGTAACTTCAAAAGGAATAATTCACACAAATATAATCAAATATTACCGAAATATAATATTGAATTTAATTTCTCAGTATGAAGTGAACGTCGACGATATAAAAACTACAACAAAAAATACAGATCCGTATTTAAAAATTCAAAGATGGGGGTGGCTCAAGTCAGATGACACCCTATATAAAAGATTCATGGACATATTCTGATAGCCCACGTCAAGTACCAATAGCAAAATGTAGTCAGATTTTCAATATGCCTGCGAATAAAGAAGATATAGGTAGAAAAATAATTTGTGATTTTTTGGTTTTTCCTGTATATCTCCAGAACCAAAATAGCTATATTCGATTTTTTTACATCATTGAGTAGGTCTCTAAAATATGCAACTTTGCCACAGTTTAACCGACACTCTATCTCTCCATCGTTTACGAGATCCCCATGTACAGAAACGAATTTGAATAGCCCTGTATTTACATGAGAAAAAACTAAACTTTGTTATAGTATCAGAGTTTTTTATTATCAAAAATAAAACTTAAACATAATCGTATTCAATACTTATATGTTCTCAATTACTATGACTACAACAAGTTTGTTATTTTATCATTCTCCTTGATTAGGAAACTATCCCATAGGTCTTTAGCTCCTATTTTCTCGAATTCTTCCATTGAAATATCATCTGGTCTATTTATTCTGAGAACATTCATCAATTTGCTAGTCGGATCGATTGGAAGCCATTCAATATCACCAAAACGAGGTTTACTGAAAAAAGAAAAGAATCAGACACAGAAAAGAGAACTGATGTCAAAACCTTGCAAACCTATCAACACTACTGCACGAATTTTTAGAGTAAATACATAAAAATGGTTCATACCAAGCCAATCAAATAGATTTCATGAAAAATAAGATATCTATCAGTTTTACTTCGAATTTTCATGTTGTAGATTGTGAAAGGTGGGCAAATGAAAACATTTCCCATAGTTGTTGGTGTCTACAGAAAAAATCGCTCCAACCCCTTTCCTTAGAAGGATCAATCTCATTTAAATATTCATTGATTTTTTTTTAACTTTCTTGAAATTTGGGTTCATATAGAAAGCATATATTTTACGAAGATTTTGAAATTTTACACATAGAAAATAAAGGTTTGAAGGTGAATAATTAAGGAGCAATGGAAATGAATAAACTTAAAATAATTCAAACATTTTACTGAATGACCAACTGGATTTAAATAGATCACCACAATTGAACTTGCATTCTTGAAAACCGATGAAGTATTATTATTGATATAGAATTTATATAATATAATAA